CCAGTTCTCGATGGTGCGCGTGGCGTGGTCCAGGGAGCTGCTCACGCCCGCTGTGGTCACCATGTCGCGCGCCGCCTGCAGCATTTTGAGCACGCTGGCCTGAGCCGAGCTGGCCGTGAGGTCCGGGCTGGGCGGCCGCACGGGGCTGGCCAGCCTCTGCACGCCGCTGAAGCAGCTGTAGATGCCCTGGGCACAGGGAGGAGGAGGAGGTGGCTGTGAGCGGCGCTCGGCTCTAGGGACGGCCTCGCTGACCCCGCCCACCTCGCAGGCTTGGGAACCAGCCTTCTCTCTAGTCCTCAGAAGCAAAGAACTTGTGTTAAGTATCTCCTATGTGCCAGTCCTTGTGCCCTGACATTCTACAGGCTCCAAGAAGGTGACTCATTCTCCTAAAAAAAAAAAAAAATCACTCAGCCAGTGAATGGCAGAGAGAGGATTCGAACCTATTCACCTAGCTTTAAAAAACCCAGCTCTCTCTATGGCGCCACTCCGCCTGCGCCTGCGCAGAGAAGGGTTCGTCTCTGCGAGCAAGCCCCGCCACCACCCGAGCTGTGTTTTCTCATCTGTAAATAAGTCAAGCTGATGTATTTGGGCCGGCACCCCTAGCGCCAGAGCCTGTTTAGGGCGGGGCGGCACCCACCCTGCTGAAGGCCAGCAGGAAGTCCAGCTGGGACGTGTGGGGCACCGAGTGACGCAGCTTCCAGTAGACCAGATGCTCCCAGGCGAAGACGAGCAGTGCCAGCCCCATGGCCACCAGCAGCATGTAGAAGACGCCCGCCATGTTGTCGATGTCCAGCTTGCTGCTCATCACCTCGTTCTTCTCCTTCTGGCAGATCCCCGAGAGCCACACCGTCTCCAGCTTCTGTGTCTCCCCTGGGGTGGAGCACGGTGGGCTAAGGAACCCCTGGGAGGGACCCCTCCCAGTACTCCCTCCAAGCCTGGAGCAAGGTGGGGTCTGGGGTCAGCGTGCCCTCTCCTTGTCCCTCAAGTGGGACCATATAGAGATACGGCCTTGCAGGGACCGGAGGAGGGGGGTCAATGAACAGGAAGAAAGGGAAGCCAAGGGGGCAGAGCCTGGATGGGCAAAGCCAGACTTGGGGCCCTCCACCTGCCCAGCCCCACGTGCCCAGTACAGGCTTGTTGATTGAGTAATGCACTCATGCATCCACCAAACACTTGTTGATCAACCAGCTTGGCACGGAGCTGCGGACACGGAGGTGAAAGGCCTCCGAGGAGACCGACCGAAGCGCGTGCACTGGTGGCATTCTCATCTTTCTCACTGTTATGTGATATTGATGGAAAGTCAGACCGACTGTTTTGTAACACGGATGGTACACCTCTACACTCAAAGCTCTCTCTGGTTTTTGGGCAGGCTGGGCTGGATCACTCACTCATGTGAGCCCCCCAGGTGCCAAGCCATCCTGGCCCCTGCTCTGGGGGACTAGGCAGGTCCTTGAGGCCACCCCAGGTAATCTCAAGGTGGAAACAGTGAGGGAGGGACATAACGGGCAAAGGAGGGGCTCATTTGGAAAAGATTATGGAGGGGTCTTGGGGAAAGGGGTTCAGCCACTCCCAACCCCCACTGTGTGGCCTGAACTTCCTGCCTTCTTACCTTTCCTTCTGTTCCCTTCCTAGAAACCCAGCCCTTCCCCAGTCTCCATCCAGTTGGTCCCATTGCCCCAACCTCTCACCCCCGGAGCCTTCTCCCTGCCCACAAGGCCCTGGAGACACAGAGTGGTGGTGGAGATTCTGGCCAGCCGGCAGGCTGCCGCCCGACCTCGGGCTCTGGGGCCCACCCGGGGCCCACCCCAGCCTCTGCAGTGATAGCACCCACCGTCCCCCAGGAACTGCAGGAGTGCCAGGTCTATGGGCCGCTTCCAGTGGGAGTCCTTCTGCATGGCGATGCCGTAGCCAGTGGTGGCGAAGACCTTGCCGGACCCGATGGTGACCAGCTTGCAGCCCTCGTCCTTGCCCGCCATGTAGTTGAGGACAGCAGCGTCGTAGATGAAGGCATCCAGCTTCCTGGGGACAGGGTGGGCCCTCAGGGCCAAGGACTGTGCCGGGTGGGGGCCACTGAACCTGGGGTCTGACAGAGGTCTGGGCCACACGAGCCTACTGGGCACCGCCCAGGAGGGACAGATGGGCAGAGCCTTGTCTGGTTCCTGTGGGTCCCGGATGCCGAGGGGACCGCACCCCCGTAGCCCCTCAGAGGGGCCGGAGAGCTCGCTGCCCCCAGAGGACACCCACCTTCTCTCCGCCCAGCCCCTCCCTACAGGCCAGAGAAGGTAACAACCATCCCCTCAGGCCAAGGCTGGCCCTCGTCAACACCACAGCTGCATCTCTGGGCCACATGGTGGGTGTCTATTTTTGTCTCGAGCTCCAGCTGCCCCAAGGCCTACCCTCCTCTCTGCTCTCCCTCCCCAGCATCCTGCAGCCTAGGAGGACAGCCCAGCCCCACTGTCCCCACCTCAGGTATCTCAGGAAGGGTCAGGGCTGAGGCTTTGGGGGGCATGTGGGTGGGGAGAGTCAGATGGCAGGTGCAGGGCTGGGAGGCAGAGGGACCCACCCCATCTTGAGGCTGGTGAGCGCATCCTCTACAGAGCGCTGGTTGAACTTGACCATGTGGGTGTGCATGTCGCGGTAGTTGCTGCGGATATTCCGCTCCGTGCTGCCATTGGGCACAGTGCCAAAACGGAAGGGTGGGTACTGATCTTGAGGCCGCTGAAACTGCAGGCAAGGACCAGCAGCCACTCACGACCCCGCCTCACACCTTCCAGACACCCAGTACCCCCGGCCCACCCCCAGTGCCCTGCCCTAGTTTGGACATGAGCAGGGTCAGAGAAGAATGGTCTAGAGAGACTGTGCAGGCCACTCCTGTGTTTTAGAGAAACTGAGGCCCAGTGCAGGCAGAGACGTACCCAAGGCCGCCCAGTCAGTGGGCCTGATCCATCTCTCCCCGTGCCCCCCACCCCCTCCTCGCTGGGCTCCCCAGCTTCTTCCTGCTCCAGCCTCCTGTTCAAACTCCCCTGACCCTGGCGGACCTGTGTCCACCACCCAAGATCTGCCCCTCCTTGCCCTCGGTGTCCCCCCACCCTCCACTGGCCATGGCTCCAGAACCTTCTTGTCGCTGAGGCCAGACACAGTGTCAATGTACTGCTCCTGGATCATGAAGGCAGCCAGGTTGGCAGTGTAGCTGGCGAGGAAGATGACGGCGAAGAAGGCCCAGACCAGGACCATGATTTTGCTGGTGGTGCCCCGGGGGTTTTCGATGGGCACTGAGTTGTTGAAGACCAGCGCCCACAGCAGCCACACGGACTTGCCGATGGTGAAGGATGGGCCCCCAGACTCTGGGGGTGAGGGGGTGGTCACTGGGGCCCATCCAGGAACTGGCTCCCCTCATCCACCCAAAGGCCTCAGGATTCTGCCCTCCCATCTCCATGGCCCCTGTGTCAGTCCTGTCTTGGATGGGGACCCATCCCTGCCATCCTTGCCATCCCGCCCTAGGACAAGTCAGCTCCTCTGTCTCTCTCTCTCTCTCGTATCCGACTGACCCCTGCATATATTGTCCATAACCCAGAACCCTCCCACAGGACTCAGTATTCCCTGAACGGCCCCTTTGGCCCCAAGCCCACCACTCTGGGGCACCTCAGCCCAGCTCCCTCCTCCCAGGCCTGGTGGGAGCTTACTCTTCCCGCTGGTAAGGTTCTGGTTGTAGCTGACGGGGCTGAAGTACTCGAACATGAAGACAGTGATGGCCACCACGGTGAGGCACATGACGAACATCATCACCCACACTGCAGGGCTGTAGGGCTCTGGGCAGAGGGAGTGGCGACTCAGGGGCGCCAGCCCTCCCATCCACGGCCCAGAGGCGCTGGGTGCAGACAGCTCAGTCCACACGGTCCAAGCAGGGGCCCATCGGCTCTGTGGCTATCCGGCTCTCCAGCCCCCCTGGTCTGCCCCTTCCCTGTGCCCCGGACAGGTCCACACCACCCCACCCTAAGAAACCTTCCTTCGACTCCACTATTGCCCCTGGCTCTCATGCCTCCTCTTCCCCCACTCCCCACTTCCTTTCACCGAAAGAGGGTCTATGCCCACTGCTCTTCCCTTTGCCCTCCCATCCCCCTGCCTGCAACCTGCCCCCCCGACCATTCCCCGAGCCTGATCCCACAAAGTCACATCACCAAGGGATTTCCACTGTGCTCATTCTTCCCCCTCCCCATCCAGAACTCCCCTGCCCAGATCAGCGTGGACAATTGTTCTGGTTGTTCTGCCTGGTCAAGCTGCACTCCTTGTCCTACTCAAAGGGAAACTGAGGCCCAGGGGGCCGACAAGACAAGACTCGAGGACTCTTGACAAAATCGTTTCGGTCTCCTCGAATAAGAAACCATGACTGCCACGAGCATTTGCTCCTTTGAGGCAATGACAGTCCCATGAAATGGATGTTATTCTCTTCCCCATGGCTGAGAGACTGTGCCCAGAGAGGTTCAGTGACTTGCCGAAGGCCACACAGCAGGAAGAGGCGGAGCCGGGGCTCCCCTCCGGGTTAGCCCAGCCCTTGGCTCCCTACTCACTCCCCACGGAGCTTCTCCCCTTGTCCCACTGCTTCTGCACACTCAGCACGGGCCCGCCTGGAGCCAGCCAGCCTTCCTGGGGTTTCCCATCCCTCAGTAATAATTTATCCCGCCTCCTCCCCGACCCAACCCAGACTTAAAACCCAACTTCACCTTCCCTCTCCATTTACCCACTGACAGCTCAGCCTCCAATCACCCTCCGGGGCTCCCAGGGCTGCTGTGCTCACCCTCTGTGCCACCCTGAGCACCCCCTCTCCACCTGTGCTCCATTTATCACCCAGGAGCTCTTCCTGCCCACCGAGCCTCACCCAGGAAGGCCGAGGGGGAGACAGTGCCATTGCTGCGGGCCACCATGACGCTGATGCCTGTCTCCACAAAGGGCACGGAGAAGTCCACGATCTCCGAGCGCTCCTCGTTGATGGTGAGGGAGCCGATGGCCATGTCTGCCCGCTTGTAGTACACCTGGGGCAGCGAGGGGCGGGGGGCCATGCCCAGCTGTAGCATCGTCCTCATTCCCTGCCTCAGACTCTAACAGCCACAGGCCGAGTCAGCTGTTCCCACCTGGGGTCCTCAGAGCTCAACATCAGTACTGACCACCCCTGAGGTCATCACTGGGGACAGCTAGTCTCCCCCAGGACCAGCCCGGAGGTCACCAGAGGTGACAGCTGGGAGATCCTAGGAGGAGTCCTACATCCCCGATCCCTAGCACAGGAGGAAACGCCTGGGGTACATCTCAGGGTGGCTGAGTCATGTGTGGGGCCTGGGGCAGCAGGTGGGCAGGCGGGGTGGGCTCAGGGGGCCTCGGGGGCTGGCCTACCTCCCCGATCATGCCGTTCCACACGCCGCGCACCCTCTTGCCATGCTTGCCGTTGGTCACCAGGTACAGGTCGTAGGAGAACCTGACCACCTTGGCCAGCTTCTTGAGGATGTCGATGCAGAAGCCCTTACAGCACAGCTTGGTGTAGGGGGCCGCATCACCGCTGTGGCCACCACCAAGAGACCTCCCGTCAGGCGTCAGGCCCCAGCGCAGCCGGTCCAGCCCCAGCAGCTGCCCCAGCCTGGGATCTGGACACCCTCCCCAGCCCCGAGCACAAGCCACACACAACAGCTGATGATCACACGCAGCGGCCAGCACACAGGGCCTCCCTGTGGTCTCACGAACCTGAAGGTGTGATTGCTCTGTCTGCGGCAGGGCACGGTGTTGGGCACGCAGCCACCGATGCCAACGTCAGGGCTCTCCACGATGACAAAGGGCCGCTCTTCCAGCGTGGCCACCGTCAGGTGCCGGCTGTCCACCACGGGCTGCAGAGAGGCACTGTAGCGAGGCCACACCGGGTACTTCATGTGCAGGACACCATGCTCCCAGCGCCCCACCTGTGGAGGGCAACTGGCCTCAGCCCAGGACCCCCAGCCCTACCCCCACCCTCAGGGGAGCCTGTGGGTAGGGCCTGCCAGGGCCCAGAGCCCCCTCCCTCCCCTAGGTATGCTTGGGGCCTCACAGCAGGACCTGGGGTGGGAGCATGTGGAGAACAGGGGAGTCAGGGGCAAGGGGCCGAGCTGGCCAGAAGGGCGGGTTCCCTGCAGCCTCGTCCCAGCCTCTGTCCCTGCCGCTCCCAAACAGTCACCACACTGCTGCCAACGCAAGGCACCTTCCTACAACTTCCCCATGACCGTCAGTGACAGAGTCCCTAGTGGAGCACTCAAGGCCTTTTACACTCTGTCCACGTTACCCACCATCATCCCACCCTTCTTTCTCATTCTCCACACCCCCTAAATGCCCTCTTTCTTGCCCTCTGTCTATACTAGGCTGGTATGATGCCCCCAGGTCCTGCCTCTTGGTGGGCTCATATTCAGTCCTGCACAGCCCGGCTCAGATGCCCCCTCTCCTGGGAAGCCCTCCCCAGCTTCCCCCTTTCGTTGTTGTTGTTGGGTGCCATTGAGTCAATTCCAATTCATAGCAACTCCGTGTGACAGAGCAGAACCGCCCCACAGGGTTTTCTTGGCTGTAATCTTTACTGAAGCAGATCGCCAGGTCTTTCTCCTGCAGAGCCACTGGGTGGGTTTGAACCACCAGCCTTTCATTTAGCAGCCAAGTGCTTAACCGTTGCACCACTAGGGCTCAGGAGAGCTAACTCCTGCTCCTCCTTTCCAGTCCCAGAGTGCTTTGCACACATCTCTGCTCAAGCACTGATCTCACCGTATTCTATTTGTGTGCACACTCTCGTCTGGCCAGCACAGACGTGGCTTACTCCTCCAGGGGCAGGACTGTGTGATAAGAATGTTCGGTAAAGCTCTGTAGTAAAAGGGGGACAGAGTGTTATGGAAGCCCGGAGCAGGGGCTCCCCACTCATCCTGGGAGACCAGAAGGCTTCCCAGAAGAGATGTTTCAGCTGAGACCTGAAGGATGAGGGAATGGGCGAGGGGCAGAAGGGCTCCCTGCTCGCTGTGGGCTTGGGAGGAGCTGGGCCCCTGGGCTCACCCCCTTCTCACCATCTCCCACAGGCGGTGCCGGTTGAGAGCGATCACAACCATGGTGGGCTGGACCAGGTACCCACCAGGGCTGAAGGAGAAGTCTCGACCCTCCCAGGTGACATTCAGCAGGTGCCTGGGAGGGGGGAGAGAAGCAGGGTGTCACGTGCCCCTGCCCCCTGCCTCTATCTCCCCACCACCCCCATAATTGCATACTTACTGCAAAGTGTTTTCCCTCTATTGACCCCCCTGGATCCTCCCCCCCCCCCCCATCACGCCACTGTCTTTTCAGATGAGGAAACTAAGGCCCAGAGAGGAAAGGCAACCTGACCGCAGGCACACAGCTAGCAGTGAGTGTGAACGGCGAGCCCAAGGTCACTACCACCCTGGGGCCATGAAGCGCCCCCAACCCCACCCCGACCCTGGGCGGGTGCGCACCTGTAGAAGGCCTCCCGCGCAGGGCTGATGGGCCGTGGGTGGCCACGGCAGTCCCCGGCAGCGGCGGGCAGGGCGCCGTGCTGGCGCCGGTAGCTGTGGGCGCCCAGGGCCAGGATGGCCACGCCGTCGCGGACCTTCTGGCGCAGGCTGAGGCGCCAGCTCTCGGTGACGACGCTGATGAGGCCCACGGGAAAGGCGGCGGGCGGCGCGTCGGTGCTGCCCAGCGCCAGGTTGGGCACCAGCCACACGTGCCCCGGCCCCACCAGGCCGGCGCGCGCCGCCTCGGCGAAGAGCACCTCGGCCTCGTCGCGCGAGCAGTAGGCCACCAGCACCGGCGCGTCGAGCTGGCGCAGCAGGCGCTGGGTGCGCGTCCGCGGCCCGCCGGGGCCTAGCTCCAGCGTCAGCACGTCCAGCAGCCGCCAGCCCAGGTGGCTGGCGTCGGCGACGGCGCGCACGCTCTCGAGGAAGAACGCGTGGCCCGGGTGCAGGCTGGTGATAACGGCGAACGCGCTCCAGTCGTACTCCTCCAGCACCTTGAAGAGCACCTGCAGCTGCTGCTCCAGGGACACGCCCAGCTGCAGGAAGGCGGAGCCCGGCTCCTGGGGCGGGGCCGGGGCGGGGCCTGAGTCGGGAGGGGCGGGGCGATGCCAGCCCCGCCCCCGCCCCCAGCAGGAGCCTGCGAGTCCCTTCACGACTCCTGGTTCAGCTCCCAGACGCCCTTGCGGAAAAGCTGCCCGGCGTCTGGGAGCTCCTGCCCCCCCAAACTTTGTGCAGCCCCAACGTGGACCTAAGACAGTGCTTCCTACCCTGCTGCCCGTTAGACCCACTGGGGGAGCTTTTACAAACACTTAGCCCGGCCCCACCCAAAACAGTGCCGGCCTGCGAGCCAGCAGCATCAGCATCACCTGGGAGCTTGTTACAAATGCAGATTCTCAGGCCGCACTCCAGACCTGTTGGATCAGAATCTCTGGGGGTGAGGCCCAACAACCTGGGTTTTAACAAGCACTTCAGGGGATGCTTGAACCTGCTAGTTTGAGACGCGCTGCCCAGATGAACTGAATCTGTATCTCAGAGATGGGGCTTGGGGCGTCTGTATTTTTTAAAAGCACGGGGAGGATTGAGAACTACCGTCTTGAGAGCTAAGGTCGGGGCCCAAAAGATGGCTGGGAAGGCGCCATCCTCCACGGCGCCCTGGGGTTGAGAAGGCTCTATCTCTCCAAGCCTCTGCCAGCTGGCACCTGGGCAAGTGCCGTCACCTCCCAACCGGTGTCTCCCTGCTTCCACTCTACAGCCCCCCTCCCCCCAAGATTTCACCACACTGCAACTGTCCTAATCTTTTTAAAAAGCGAATCAGGGAAAACCCTGCAGGACAACCTAGTTTTTTCCACAAGCAAATGGAAAGAAAAAAGAGGGGGGAGAGAAGAGAGACGGAAGCCGTATCAACCACTGCAATGCGTGGACCTAATTTGGATCCTGATTCAATCAAACAAGCTTCAAAATAAACGTGCGTGACATTATGAGACAAAGGGGGAAACTTGAACACGGACTGGATATTTGATGATGTTAAGGGATTTTTATTATTTTTTAGACATGGTCATGTATAATGGGGTTTTTTTCTAAAGTTCTTATCTGCTGGAGATACACCCTGAAATATTTATGGATGAAATAATAGGATGCCTGGGAGCTGCTTCAGAAGAGGGGAAAGTAGGTGCGAGTGAGGATGCCTCAGGGTCGGCCAGGGGTGGATGGTGGGCACGTGGGGGTTTTCATTACACTGTTCTACTTTTATGTTCAAAATTCTCCGTAATAAAAAATGATTTTAAAAAATAAAAGCAAATCAGGTTGGTCTCTCAGCTTCCCACTTAGAGTAAAACCCAAATGTCTTCCCATGTGATAAGGACTTCACTTGCCTCTCCAGCCACATAACCCCAGCTGGCCACTCTCCAGCCCTAACTCTGCTCCTCCAAAGGTCCCAGCACCTTCCCACCTAAGGGACCTCACTTGATTTCCTCTCCCTGCCCACCCTAACCCCCCCCCATCCTCCAAGTCTCAGCGAAGACATCATTTCTTGAGAGACCTTCTCTGACCAACCACCCATCCAAACGGGAATGCCTGTTAGACCCCCTCATGGTCTCCCCATATGTTTCCCTCAGAACACTTATCCCATTTGGTAACTGCAGATGAATGTGTTTAAAACCTTTTCCCCACAGGACTCCAAGCTCTGTGGGTGCATAGCTGTTTCTGTCTGGGTGGTAGTTGTCCCTCACTTCCCCCCCCATGCCTTGGACAGTGACCCTCTCCAAGTGCTCCTCCTTCAGGTTGACAACAGTTGCCCAAAAGTTCAGCATCAGACCCTGTGCCCAGCCTGGCCCTCCACCCCTTGGTCGGGAGCCTGCCTGGGGAGGGCCAGAGAAGGCAGGCCCGGGGCCTGACCATCACAGCCAGAGGTGGGCTTGCCACCTCTCACCCCTCACCTGGCCATTCCGTAAGTGTGAAAGCTGCCCAGAATGTTTATCTTCCAGAACATAGGAACCTCATCACACAGCCTTTTCCCTTCTCACCCACGTCATGCCCTCAGCCTTTACCTCCTCGCCAGTCCCACCCAATGCCAGCTTCCTAGGACCCCAGTCTCCTCCCTGCCCTGGCCTGTGTGCCCATAATGCAGGAGCCAGGCCCAGACTCAGCCTCCACCCAGCCCCAGCCTGCTCCAGGCCCAAGGGACAAGGGGTCATGAGTTTGGTGGGCACCTTGGGGCTAAGGACCACAGCAGAGCCCCCGCTGATGCTGAGGATGGGTACATGGGTCTGGGAGGAGATGAAGTCGAGGATCTGGGCCACAGCCTCGGTGTCCACGTTGTCCTCAAAGACGACGCCATGGACGCGGGCAGCACCCAGGAGCCTGCAGATCTGGGTGAGGAGGCTGCTGGGGTTGGTGTTGTTGACGCCCACGGTGAGGGGCTGGATCTCCAGGGGCAGGTCCAGGAAGCTCTGGGGGGTGAGGTGGGCACGGGCCTGGGCCTGGGGTGGCCCCGAGCTGCCAAACACCACGGCCACTGTCACAGCCTGCTGGCCCTGCCCCGGGCCGGGCCCTGCCCAGGCCCCCAGGATTGAAGTGAGCAGCAGGGCCGGCCCCAGGGCCCCACCCATGTCCACTGGCGGGTCCTTTGGAGAGACCAAGACAGGTACAAGGAAGGAGACAGGCACAGAGAGAGGCAGATGGACAGACAGACAGGAGACGAAGGCCAGAGTCAGAGGACACACACCCACAGGATGGAAGGGAGAGAAGAGGGGAAGAGAAGGGGAGAAGGAGACAGACAGAGAGAAAGACAGAGGTTAGCTGAGTGTCCCCAGGGTATCCCAGAGGGGCAGGGGCTGGGGAGAAGAAAGAGCTGCAATGGGGCGCTCACCACCCTCCCTTCTACTGTTCAACCACACGCTTGGCTAGAAAGGTCAAACCTTCTGAACCTCATAGATCCAAGTTCTGTCCTAGGAGGACACAGTGAAAACGCTAGTCTGGTGCTTAAGCACATGGATTTGAGTTGGACAGACCTGAGTTCGAGTCCCAGTTCTGCCACTTCCTTACTATGTGATCTTGGACAAGTCGCTTAACCTCTCTGAGTCAGATTTTCTTGCCTGGGATAATCACAGGACCTACCTCACTGGGGAGTCCCTGGGTGGTGCAAACAGTTAATGTGCTCGACTGCTAACCAAAAGGTTGGATGTTCGAGTTCACTCAGAGGTGCCTCGGAAGAAAGCCCTGGTGATCAACTTCCAAAAAATCAGCCATTGAAAACCCTATGGGGCACAGTTCTACTCCAACACACATGGGGTCACCAAGAGTCAGCATCAACTTAATGGAAACTTTTCTTTATCTAACAGGAGTGTGAGGACTTATATGAGATAACAGTTATTAGCATTCTCATCCCACAGGTGACAGCCCCTCAGCCAGGTGGAGGAAGGCAGCTTTCATAACCTGCACCCCCACTCCCTGCCCCACCCCCATCCTCTCTGCTCCAACCTAAACTGTACCATATCTTCCTTGGGTCTCACACCAGGGCACATGGTCAGCCTATCCACCAAGGACCCATCTCTGTGTGCCCCAGTGTGATGGTTGAGGTCGTGTGTCAACTTGGCTGGGCCATGATTCTCAGTGGTTTGGCAGTTACGATGTAGTTTGGCAGTTGTATGATGTTGTGATCACTTCCATGATGAGATTTGATATAATGTGATCACCTCCATAATGGGATCTGCTGTGAGTAGCTGAACAGTTGAAAGGGAGTTTCCTTGGGCATGTGAGCTGCATCAAATATAAGTGGATAGTCTGGCAAGGCTCGGGGGCTTTTGTTCACTCTGCATCCTGCAGGTGGCTCCTGTTCATCTGACCTCCGGTTCTTGGAACTTGAGCTAGCAGCTTACCTATGGTCTTGCCTGTCCATCTTGGGATTTGTTGATCTTTGCAGCCTGTGAGCAAGAGCCCTGCTCCCTGACCTGCCGATCTTGGGTTCGCCAGCCCCTGCAGCTACGTGAATCAGGAGAAGCCTCTGTCCTGACCCACGGACTTGGGACGTTCCAGCCTCTACAACTGCATGAGCCATTTCCTTGATATAAATCGCTTTTTATATATATACTCACATGCCTTACTGGTTTTGCTTCTCTAGGGAACCCAGCCTAAGACACTCTGCCTGGCACAGAGCTCCTACCTCCCGGACACTGGACATTCCCACAGCCCTGCTCTTGTGGCCGGTTAGTAGCAGCTCTTCCGCTGCAGGGGTGTGACATCACTGCCTTGTCCAGAGCTCAGACCAGGCCCTGGTGTGCAGGATCTTTTGAACCTAATCCAGAGGCCTGACGTGAATTCCTGCTGGACATCATTGCTTTGGATTGGGACCAAGAGCCAAGCCCTTGAGGGTAATCTGAGTCCTGAGTGGCACCCACTGATGTCGCTCTCCCTTCCAGCTGGTCATCAGCCACAGCTCTGACACCTTCTCCAGCTCCATCCCCAAGAAAGCTTCTGAACCAGGAGAGAGAAAGGTAAACAGCGCAGGCCAGCTGCTCCAGCCCTCCCTGCAGAAGTGCAGACAGAACCCCAGCATCCCCTTCCGAAAAAGCAGCCATTGAAAACCTTATGGGGCACAGTTCTACTCTGACACATGTGGGGCCAACACTCTTGCCTCAGACACTCCCAAACCCCTGTCCCAGAAACCTCACCCTTGGGACCAAAGACGTTCAGGACAGGCTCTAGCTTTCTTACAGGGCCTTCCTTTTGCGTACTACCTCATTTCTTTCTTCCTTTTGTCCAAAGCCTAATTTCTTGCAGACCGATATGCACAAGGGCGTTCCTAGGCCTCTAGTTCTCACTGATGAGGACGGGGAGCAGGGACGTGCAAGAGGCCACCTGGGAACACTCAGGAATCTTCCTCCTTTTTTCCCCAGGGTTGCTAAAAGGATCCTTCCAAGGGAAACCACAAGACTGACTCTTTAGTTCAGAAATTTAACTTGATACATGTATACTGAGCACCTTCTGTATACTAGGCACTGGGCGGTGAAATGTTAGTATGGGTAAGACGTGGTCTCTGCCCTCTAGGAACTGGGAGTGTGCTGTGGAAGACAGAGGTGCCAATCCTTGGACAAGCTAGGGACAAGTCTGCAGACTTGCACCTCCAACCTCCCTTTTCTACTGATCTCTCCTTCCACCAATATCCTGCTCCCTCACCAACCTCCCCCAGCAAGACCTTTTCTTAGCTAAGTCTCCGCAGCTCATTCACATGGAGGAATAAGGGACTGATAACAGCTTAGAGTGTTATCATTCCCACCCGGGAGTTTCACAATGGTCAAAGCCTTAAGCTAACGTGACTGATGGTGGAATTTCAGGCTGAGAAGACAGATTTTTGGCAGGGAAGGGAATACCGTATTCATTGTGGTGCCCTTGGAATCTCCCCACATGTACTGTCTCCTCGTACTCAGACGTAGAAGGGCAGCCCAATACATTTGAGTCTGGGATGGGATCCTAAGCCAGGCCACACCACACCACACCTCAGCAACCACTGAGCAGAGATTTTTAACTCACGGCTGCAGAGGGCACTGTCATTCCTCCCACAGCCTTTGCAAAGCCTCTCTAAGCTCATCTCTGCCGCACCCCCGGCCCCTGTAGAAATTTGCACAGGTTTGTGCTGGTTCTTTGCCCCCGCAGGCTCCCAAGCATATGTCCCCTGCCCTCAAGCCTCCCCTCAAATCTACCTCCCAGCTCTGAGCTCTAGATCTGCGTTGTCCAGTACAGTAGCCACAGGCCACGTGTGACTACTGAGCACTAGGAATGTGGCTAGTCTGAATAGAGGTTTGCTGTAAGTGGAAAATACGCACCAGATTTTGAAGACCGAGTATAAAAAAAGAATGTAAAAGATCTCATTCATATTTTTTATATTGCCTACATGTTGAAATAATAATGCTTTGGCTATATTGAGTTAAATAAAATAGACTATTAAAATTAATTTCACCTGTTTCTTTTTACATTTTTCAAATGTAGCTTCTAGAAAATCTAAAATGGTACACGTGGCTGTCATTCTACCTCCATTGAACAGCACAGCTTCAGGATGAAAAACCCAGGCCCTGCCTGCCTCCAAGGGGGCACCTCCCCTGAGCCTCTCTCTAACGGGCAGGGGTCCTCCTGGGTAGGGGGGGAAGAGAGGAAGTTGAGGCAGGTGTACCTTCCACCAAGAGACCACAGAATGTGTCAGAGGGAGGGACCTGAATGCAGCAAGTCGCTGAGCTCCAAACAGTGACGAGCAGAGCCAAGGAGTGCAGAGTCCAGAATCTCACCACCGCGTCCCGTCCAGCCACCCCCGCGAGGCAGAAGGGACATTCTCCAGCCCTGCCCTAATCCAATCTCCCCACTAGCTTCCCTCTGCCCCCCTCCACCTCCCACTCACCTAGCCCGCCAGCCCCACTCACCTGCAGCTTTCCTCCAGCCCCTGCACCCCGTCCTCAGACCCCACCTGCTCCTTGGTGCCCACAAGTCCAGACACTTAGTCCCACCGACTCAGGGCCCCACACACCCTGATCCCAGCCAATGTCCTCCTACCATGGACCCCACACTGGCCAGTCTGGTGGCCACACAGCCCCACTGTCCGCATCTCCTGGCCTTTGCTCCTGCTTGTCACGCAGGCTGGGATGTCCTCCTCCTGCTGTCTCCCTCTCGTCTACATGTCAAAATTCTACTGTCCTTCAGAGCCCAGCCTGAGTCCCTCTCATGGGTACCCGCCTTGATCCCACCAGGCTCTGGACACAGAGGTGAGAAGACCCAGGGTTCATGTGGGGGTCCAGGCCAGGGCCCCCCTCCCTCCCTCCTCTGGCCTCGGGAGTGCTGGGCCATACCCTCTAGCAGCTCTCTCCACTGGCCCTGGGCCGGGTATTTGCCCACCTGCCGTGCCCCTCCCCACACTGGACATGGTTCCTTGAGGACAGAGGCTTGCGTGGAGCCCTGTCCCACACTTGCAGGGGCTGTGAAGGGAATGTCTGTCAACAGCGGCATGGGAAAAGACCCCAGAGAGGGGGGCAGCGGTCAGTCTTCCTTGGCACTCAGCCTCACCTTGAAGGGCCTGAGCACCTCCACGTGCTTAGGGCTTCTCTCGCCCCCTTTGTCCCCCAAATCTCACCAGGCTCCCACAAACGGATGTGCACACTCACATACTCACGCACCAGACACCAACGACTCCCTTTCTGCCAGGCCAGGGGCCTCGGTCCCTTGAATCGGCCTCCCCCACCAGCCGCGCTGCTTCTAGGAGTGGGGGACCCTGGCTTTCTGGACCCACTGCCCTTCGGGGGGAATGGCCCCTCCTCTGCCGTCGGGTTTCCCTCCCTCCTTGTGGCCTAGCTGATATTCGAGACAGGGCGTCAGGGGAGAAGACGCCCCTCCATCTTGCCCCCACGGGTGGGGGCCCGGAGTTCTCCCTCCTCCGAGGCTAACGCCCCCCACCCGCGACTCCCCCGGCCCGGGGGGGCAACCCTGCCCCCTCCCCTGGCAGGAATCTCTTACACTCGGGCTGTGAAGTTCGGGATATGTTTAGGCCGGCGATAAATAATTCATAGGGAACGTGGCATCAGGCTCCCCCCGCAGGAGGAGGGGGCGCAGGCAGTGAGAGCCACTGTCACCCGCGGCTCAAGGACACTCGCGATGCGGCGGCGGCAGCGGCGGCGGCGGCAGCGGCGGCGGCGGGAGTGACTCCGGGCGTGGGGACCCAAGCCACGCCTCCTGGCGGCCAGACTGGGCACCACGTCCTTCGCGCCCCACGCCTCACTGCTGCCTCCTGCCGCCGTCCCCGGCTCCTCGGCCCCTAGCCCCTCCACTCCACGCAAGGCTGCGACCCCAAGCCACTCGAGTGGGGGTGGCCGAGGTCGTTTGACAGGCGGGACTGTGAGCCAGATACCAGCCCAGGCTTGCTCTGGGGCCCCGGGGCGAATGCAAGAGTCTGGTTTCGTGCGGACTCGCCCCTTCGCATTCCTGTTCTTCCTGAGGACAGAGTTACCAACAGGCTGCACGCTAATGGCCCGGCCAGGAGCTAGATGGGATCTGAACCAGAACCAGTGGGAAGGTGCCTCCCCAGATCAGTTTCCATCCTCTGTTGTCCTGTACGCCAGAACGGTGCCACCATCCGAGGGCTGGGGGACTGAGCAGGGCGAGCAGGTCTAGGAACCAGGGATAATCCGGGTGAGCGCCAGGGCTCTGGGACATTGCTGCCTCCCTCGCCAGCAGGCCCTTTTGGAAAGCCCGTGTGCCGCACCCTTAGGGGTTTTCAGGCTGCGGTTAAGCACTCCCGCTGCTAACCCAAAGGTCGAGGGATCCAACCCACCAGCTGCTCTGCGGGAGAAAGATGTGGCAATCTGCTTCCCTAAAGATTACAGCCTTGGAAACCCTATGAGGGCAGTGCTACTCTGTCCTATAGAGTTGCTATCAATCAGAATCGACTCGATGGCAAAGGGTTAGGGGTTTTCGGTTTTTTAGTCGCTTCTGCCGTCGCATCTCCCCGACCCTGCCCACCTCAAACCCAGGCACTAAACGCGTTCTGCAATCGGAGGCTCGGGGCTTGCCTTCTCAGACGTCGGTGATCCTGGTCGAAGACCCTGGAGACCAGAGCAGCCCACTGGGGCAGCGGCCAGAGCCCAGCGCCGAGGGCGCACGGCTCTCCCAGGGACCCTTTTGCCCACCCTGCCTTTTGCGTTCTCGGATGCCTGGGTCCACCGGGTGCGGGGTCACCATTTGAGAAGAGCCTGCCACCCCGGAAAGCCCACGCTGATTCGCTGAGGTCTGAGGATGGGAGCGTTCTGCAGGGACAGGGGAGGAGGAAGGGGAGCTGGAGGGAGACCTCTGGGGGAGGCCTAGCGGAGAGGGGTAGAGGCTGAGGGCAGGTGCATGCAGTAGGTACTCAGCAGACAAACGAGAACAAGGGCAGGATCCTGGAGCCATCGCAGCCCCTTTCACTCTCTCCGCCCTGCGCCCTCTCCAGCCCCCTACCCCCTGGCCGAACCCAGCCGGGCCCTGGCTCCCAGCCCTGCTCCTAGCCCAGCGGCTTCCAGCAGCAACAGTTGGGGGGCCCGCAGCCCGGCCTCCCGCGGCGTCGCGGCGCCTGGCTAAGGAGGAGCAGGAGGGCCCTGCGACCCCGGAGACGAAGGTCTTGGGAGCCTTGCCCGCGTCCTTCCCCGCGCGTCCGCGGCGCTCGCCTCCCGGCCTCTCGTACTCACCTGCCGGGTCCAACCCCCAGACCCGGCCACGAGGTTCCCGGTCCCTCCCCAGCCACCCTTGCCTGGGCTCCTGCGCCGCCCAGACGCTCTCCGGGTGTCCCGCGTCTGTCTCCGCCGCCCTTGCCCGAGCGGCGCCTGAACGCAGCCCCAAGTTGGCGGCGAAGTTGGCGCCCCCAGCCGCCCGCTCGCTCTGGCCGCCACTCACCGCGGGGAAGGGGCGCTGCGCCCGCGCCGAGAGCCCGCGCCGCCC